ATGCCAGTTCCCAGGGTTTTGGAACAAGGTGTATTTGAACTTGTTATGGAGCTTCTCTGAATCCTCATTTCCAGCGCTTGTAGGATTGTTGTCAAAGTTAAATAGCCTGACATTTAATAAGCACCATATCAGATCAGATGGTTTGCTCACTGATTTTTACACTCAGACTAACTTTTCTTTTTTGAGAATTTTACCGTGTTTTTTAACGTGTGGTTTTAATGTGATTCTCTTCCTGTTTACATGTGGGCTTCTTTAAGGCATCCTATACGAGTGTGGGGTCAGAGTGTGTGGTAATTTGTCCTGTTCTTGCTGGGTTGGAAGTAACTGGGAAAGAGGTCCTAGAGTCTTCTCTAGGATATAGGTTCTTAACCTGGGAGGGGTTCTAGAAGGGCTCTCTGTGTATCCCACTGCTGTTGCTTGTCACATTTTGAGAAAAATGTAAGTTCTGAGAACAGGGACTGATTATGACTTTCTCAGGACCATCCCACCCCAAAATTAACAGCTGTAGGGTAGGGGTCAGCAAACTCTTTCTATAAAGTGCCAGATAGTAAATATTTTAGACTTTGCAGACCAGACAGTCACTATTGCAGCTACTTGGCTCTACCCTTTCAGTGACAGTAGTGAAGGGATGTGGCCAGATATGGCCTACAGCACGTAGTTTGCCAAATCCTGTCCTGGGCCCAGCTGCCTCAGTGAGCTTGGTGTTGGAAAGGTTCTCCTTGAGGTGAATCTTTGGAGACCACAGAAGGTGGTCTAGTTTGAGAGAACTCTAAAGCCATATCCAGTATGGTAGCCACCAGCCATATGCGGCCATTTAAATTGAAACTAGTTAAAATTAGAATGTAGTTCCTCAGTCCCATGAGTTGCATTTTAAGGGCTTAATAGCCACATGTGGCTAGTGGCTACCATATTGGATAGACAGACAGAGAACGCTCCATATTTACAGAAAGGTCTGATGGACAGCAGTGATCTAGAGTGTCCTAAAGTCGGTATCCCTCTCTGATGCCACCACTGGTCAGAGTCTGGAACAGCGGCTTCTACCTGAATGTGGAGGGGGATGGCTGAGGAACAATGTCCCCCTCTCAGGACCGGGCAGCTCCCACCACAGTTCTTCTGTTAGCTTAACTTGCCTTTTCCATCTGCCACCAGCCCTGAAGGACGACAGCTGGACATCAAGAAGTCCAGCTACAAAAAGGTAAGCAGCTACCTTCTCCACATACCCACACAGAGAGTCATGTAGGGGCCCATGTGCCATGAGCTGGATGGACGCTGGGGAAGCCCTGTCTGTAGGGCTCAGGCTAGAATTAAGCTTTTTGATTCCTGGTGTAAGGAGGGGAAAGAAAACTCTCCCTGGACTGAGGCAGTTGGGCGGGCACCCACGCCCCTCTGTCCCTTCCACCCCTTTATATCTGGCCAGAGTTCCAAAAGGTTTCACCAGTTAGTCTGTAGCTGCTTCCCACTCCCTGAGTCTCAGAGTGGGGGGCCTCCCAGTTCCTGGTTTGATGAGGGCAGGGACTGTCATGTGCCCCACCCAGGGACAGGCCAGGCTCAGCGTGGGGTATGTCAGTCGCTCAGGATGTGCGTGCCATCGGTGGAGTCCCTAGCACTGGCCCTCTCTCCCTTAGCTCTCTAAGTTCCTGCAGCACATGCAGCAGGAGCAGATTATACAGGTGAAGGAGCTGAGCAAAGGGGTGGAGAGCATTGTGGCTGTGGACTGGAAGCACCCGAGGTGAGTGCAGGGGGGCCTGGTCACCGTAGCTCAGCTGGCCCGGGGCACCTGGGTATAGTATAAAATGTGTTTTTTCTTTCCTTCTGCCGGGTTTTAGGATCACATCTTTCGTCATAGCCGAGCCCTCCCCGACCTCCCAGACTATCCAGGAGGGTAGCAGGGAACAGCCCTATCACCCTCCAGATATAAAATCCCTCTACTGTGTCCCAGCCAGCATGACTCTGCTCTTCCAGGAGTCTGGCCACAAGTGAGTTTTTGGAGAGCAGCCCTCCTCTGCCTGCTTGGTGCTCTGGCCATAGATCCTCTCCAGCTGAGTAGCTTTCTTCTGGGACTGGCAGAATGTGCTCTGCCCCGTCCTCCCTTTCTCTCACGTCCAGCTTCCAGCCTCCTTCCCCTGGGAAGCGTCTCTGAACAAATGAGAGTAGTCCTCTCCCTTTTCTACCTGTAACTACTCTGCACACGGTCCTGCTCACGTCAGTCAGGAAAGGGAAGAAAATAGAGGTCAGAGAGCCCAGGAAGCAGCCTGCCTAGCAGAGAGCGAGTCTTGGTGTCCACAGTTTATCTCCTGGCACAGCAGGAACTAACCACCCCCCCCCCCCCCCCCCCCCCCCCGATCATTTCTGACCTAGGAAGGGGAGCATTCTCGAGGGCGGTGAGGTCCGGACGATCATCATCAACTATGTCAAGAGAAATGACCTCGTTGATGCGGACAACAAAAAGTGAGTGGGTGTGGAGCTCTGCTGGAGATTAGTCCGTGACGACGCACTCTTGCACACCCCTGGATGTCTGCACTGGAGGGGAACGGGGGAAAGCACAGCCGTTTGGACCAGTGGTTTCTGAGCCAGAGGCTGTGGACACACCTCGAGTTGTTGTCTGGTGCTCACATCCACATGTGCTGTCAGCACTGACTATATATAGCCTGAGTTCGTATCAGCTCATATATATCCACTGCTGGTTTTCAAATGCATGTGCTATTGTGAGGAATAAAATGCAAACTTAGAAAAATTTTACCGAAGTCCTTGTGGCTTTTTGGTGTTCTCTGTTTTCTTAGTAAGTGGATACAAAAGATAAACTACTAAATGAAGAACATTCCATTACTTTTTTTTTTTTTCCAGAAGATATCCCCATGATCAGAGAGTTGGAAACTGTTGGCCTAATCATGATGAGTTAGCAGAACTGAGCCAGGGATCCCATCACCCCCTCCCCTCTACCACCTGCATTACCCTTGTTCTAGGAAAACCTTCCATACGTCCCATCCACAGGGTACACTGCTTCATGGACTGTGGTCCCTGAATTGGTTCTAATGGTTCTGGATGACAACAAAGGACATACAAGAGACGAATCCTGAGGTGGCCCTGGGGTCAGTAGGGGCGGGAGTGGCATTTCTTTATTATCTCTTCTTTCCCTTCAGTCTCGTGAAATTGGATCCCATCCTATGTGACTGCATCTTAGAGAAAAACGAACAGCACACAGTCATGAAGCTTCCATGGGACAGTCTCCTGACCAGGTAGTGGGGATTGGCAGTCCCTCTCCAGTGTTTCCCCCCACCCTCCCCTGAATGTCCATCACATTGAACTGTAAAGTTGTCACTGTCTTAGTCTTTGATTTTTCTTTCCATAATTCAACTGATAATCGTCTACATGAACACAGTTTTGGTGATTTTGATGTGGAAGTTCCTTGGAATGATTTGAGCCAACACAATATAGAAGAGAACCTAAGGGGCACCTGGGTGGCTCTGTCGGTTAAGTATCCGACTTCAGCTCAGGTCATAATCTCATGGCTCATGGGTTCGAGCCCCTCATCGGGCTCTGCCTGGAGCCTGCTTCGGATTCTGTCTCTCTCTCTCTCTCTTCTCTCTCTGCCCCTTTCCCGCTCTCACTCTGTCTCTCTCTCTCTGTCTCTCTCTCTCTCTCTCTCAAACATTAAAAAATTTAAAAAAAAGAGAGAACTTAAAAGGGAGAAAGAAGAACAATGAATTAAAATTAAGAACTTCAGAAAGATTTAGAAGCAAAAAGAAGGCTGGGAGAAATTGTCTTAAAGTCTTCAAAAGAAAGATTCTTACTCTTTGTTCTTGTTCCACAGATCAAAACTGAAAATTATGTACATCAGGAGTTTGCAAACTACAGCCCATGAGCCAGATCTGACCCACTACCTGTATTTTTTGGAATACAGCCACACCCATTTGTTTATGTATTGTCTGTCAGTTGCTTTTATGCTACCATGGCAGAGTTGACTGGTTGCACAGACCCTGTGGCCTTAAGGCGTAGAATATTTACCATCGGGCCCTTCATAGAAAAAGTTGGTCAGTCCCAGTGTATAGGATAACAAGAGAAAATCTGGTTAGATAGAAGGTGGACACTCTTTGTGGTAAAGGAGTTCTCTAAAAGATTCATTGGAACACGTCACAAATGTGAAGCAGCACTTCAGCACACTGGGTACAGGAGAGTCTTGAGATGGAGTAAACTCCACAAGGCAGCCCAGACAGATTTTCAGAAGGCCAGGCTGCTGGACAGTTTTCAGGGGTTCAGGTCACTGATGATCCCTTCCCTGAATCCATGGGCCTTGACTTTGGCCATGCTCTGGGGATCTTTAAAGAATATTGGAGTTTCTGATGTAATTGGTCTTGGGTGCAGCTCCTTGGGTGAGGTCGGTGATTCTGAGTGCAGCCCAGGGCAGACCACTGCCTGCAAATTGGCTCACACCCAGCTGCCCGCTCATAGCGGGGAATGAGGAGATAGCTTCTGTTGGCTTTACCAGTCTATAGCTTATGAACTCCTGTTTCAGATGTTTGGAAAAATTGCAGCCTGTGTATCAAGTGACTTTTCCAGGACAAGAGCCCATTGTGAAGAAAGGCAGAATCTGCCCAATTGACATCACCCTAGCACAGAGAGCGTCTAATAAAAAGGTAAATTTTAAAAGACACAATGTTGGAAGATGGTGATTTAATGTCCCTGCTATAAGTTTTATTCTCTACAATGTGATTAGAGGATTTTAGATTGGCACACCACAAAGATAGTTAATGAAAGACCCATGCTTGCATAAGTGGGCTGGGCCTTATAGAAAACAGGTGATGCTGCCCCCTCACTCCCTCCCTCTGGGATTTTGTGCTGGGAAACTCGCTAGAGCCTAGTTCCAAAGGTAAACAAGATTTTATTTTTATTTTTCTCTTAGACCTGTCATGGGCTTTCAGCTCTCATTGTTACTTCTTGGGCCTTGCTCAGTGAAAATAGCTTGTAAAGAAGTGTGTTTAGCCTGGCAACAGACACATAGGAAACAAATTCTGTCTGTCCTCAAGTGTATGAAAAGCTGTTCTTGGGAAAAGGAGTGCACTCATTCTGAGATGCCTTGAGAAGACAAGTAGGAATACTGGGTGGAAATCCCAAGAAGACATACTTGGGTTCAGAATAAAGAACTTTCTAATGTATGGTTATAAGAGTGGGCTTTGGCATTAGGAATATGTGGGTTCAAATGTGGCTTTTGCCTTGCTGCTTGACGTTGAGAAAGTTAATGGTTTTTTGCCTGAGTTTACTAATGTGAAAAATGGTGATAATGCCTACCTTATAAGGCACCGTGAGGACCAGATGAAGGAATATACATGCGTGAAGCACTTAGAATTGTGCTTCACATATAAGCAGTGAATGAGAACCGGTAATGATAACCTCAATAATAATTAGCAATAGGCACTATTTCTCGAGTGTGTAGTTATGTGCCAGACTCTGTACTAAGCAGTTTCTATGTATGTAGGTTTTCTCCACTATTTGTTTGTTTATTATTGTTTTTAAATAATTCATTGTCAAATTGGCTAACATGCAGTGTGTACAGCGTGCTCTTGGTTTTGAGGGTAGATTCCCGTGGTTCATCGCTTACTTACAGCACCCAGTGCTCATCCCAACAAGTGCCCTCCTCAATGCCCATCACCCATTTTCCCCTCTCTCCCACCCTCCCATAAACCCTCATTTTGTTCTCTGTATTCAAGAGTCTCTGATGGTTTGCCTCTTTCACTCTCTGTTTGTAACTATTTTTTTTCCCGTTCCCTTCCCTCATGGTCTTCTGTTAAGTTTCTCAAATTCCACACATGAGTGAAAACATACGATATCTGTCTTTCTCTGACTTAATTCACTTAGCATGATATCTTCGAGTTCCATCCATGTTGCTGCAAATGGCAGGATTTCATTCTTTCTTATTGCCAAGTAGTATTCCATTGTATATATAAACCACATCTTCTTTATTCATTTGTAAGTTGATGGACATTTAGGCTCTATCCATAATTTGGCTATTATTGATAGCCCTGCTATAAACATTGGGGTACATGTGCCCTTATGAATCAGCACTTCTGTATCTTTTGGATAAATTCCTAGCAGTGCTATTGCTGGGTCACAGGGTAGATCTATTTTTAATTTTTTGAGGAACTTCCACACTTTTCCAGAGCGGCTGCACCAGTTTGCATTCCCACCAACAGTGCAAGAGGGTTCCCGTTTCTCCACATCCTCACCAACATCTGTTGTTTCCTGAGTTGTTACTTTTAGCCATTCTGACTGGTGTGAGGTGGTACCTCAGTGTGGTTTTGATTTGTATTTGCCTGATGATGAGTGACGTCGAGCATCTTTTCATGTTTCTGTTGGCTATCTGGATGCCTTCTTTGGAAAAAATGTCTATTTATGTCTTCTGCCCATTTCTTCACTAGATTGTTTGTTTTTCAGGTGTTGAGTTTGGTAAATTCTTTACAGATTTTGGATACTAGCCCTTTATCCAATATGTCATTTGCAAATATCTTTTCCCATTCCGTTGGTTGCCTTTTCTTTTTGTTGATTGTTTCCTTTGCAGTGCAGAAGCTTTTTAACTTGATGAGGTCCCAAAGTTCATTTTTGCTTTTAATTCCCTTGCCTTTGGACATGTGTCAAGCAAGAAATTGCTGTGGCTGAGATCAAAGAGGTTGTTGGCTGTTTTCTCCTATAGAGTTTTGATGGTTGCCTGTCTCACATTTAGGTCTTTCATCCATTTTGAGTTTATTTTTGTGAGTGGTGTAAGAAAGTGGTCCAGGTTCATTCTTCTGCATGTCGCTGTCCAGTTCTCCCAGCACCATTTGCTACAGAGACTGTCTTTTTTCCATTGGATACTCTTTCCTACTTTGTCAAAGATTAGTTGCCTATACATTTGTTAGTCCAATTCTGGGTTCTCTATTGTGTTCCATTGGTCTATGTGTCTGTTTTTGTGCCAATACCATACTGTCTTGATGATTACAGCTTTGTAGTAGAGGCTAAAGTCTGGGATTGTGATGCCTCCTGCTTTGGTTTTCTTTTTCAATATTACTTTGGCTATTCGGGGTCTTTTGTCGTTCCATACAAATTTTAGGATTGTTTGTTCTAGCTTCGAGAGGAATGCTGGTGCAATTTTGATTGGGATTGCACTGAATGTGCAGATTGCTTTGGGTAGTATTCATGTTTTAACAATATTTGTTCTTCCAATCCATGAGCTGGAATGTTTTTCCATTTCTTTGTGTCTTCTTCAATCCCCACTATTTAAAGTGGAGCACTCCTCTGAATTCTATTGTAACCTGAAAGGGTTGTAAAGCAAAAAAAGCAATTACCGTGAATTTATATGGAAAAAATTTTGAGTGTTCCTGGACCCCAAAAATAACTTCTTTTAGGCTTTTCTGATACCTCAGGACACATCTTGCTAACAAATACATAGAATAGATGGAGATAAGGCCCAGATGCTCACAAAGTTCAAAGCTCTGGTGGCTGAGTGTAGTTCCGGGGAAGGAGTGACCGGGGTGTTCTTGCTGCTCGGTGCCTGCTGCCTCTGTGAGGGCTCCCAGAAGACCAATGCCGAATGCTATTTTCCCTTTTCACATTTTTTTTTTACAAAAGCGAAAACCCTGTGGATTTGAATCAGCAAAAACAGGTACTAATGTAGGACTTTTCATAAGAGCCAAGTGGCATACCGTGTACTCTGAAAAATCAGGGAATGCTTGTATTAACTTATTTAAACATTAAGTTTTAATATTGATGATTGCAGTTAGAATTGTCCAAAATTAAAATTGGTGCTTTGCAAAATAGGGAGTTATTGTCTCTGGAGGTCCACAAGCAAAGATTGGGCAACCAGTTGGGGGAAGATGTAGCCAGGAGTTCACGCATCAGATGGAGGTGCCGAAATAGGTGTGACCTCTGATGTCTTATCAATTCTGAGATTCTCTGGGGCTGGAGTCCCTTGACAGGCCTGGGTTATTTGGAACCTGTAACTTTATCGAGAGCAGCCCTCCCCAGCCCACTCCTGATGGTAACATACTTGACCATCTCTCTCTAGTCACAAATAATGCGAGAGAACTTGTTTCAAAAAGAGAGAATTGTGATTTTAAGTGTTGATGTTCTTTTTAAATCTCAAAATGATATATATGTCATTTGTGAAGTTGATGAATAATAGAAAAATGTAATGTGTTCCTGATGAAATGCTTGATATTAAGGAATTATCGTCCATTCATTTTTAGGTGTGATGATGGTTTTGTCTTTGTCTTTGAAAGAACCCTTATCTTTTAGAGATACGTACAAAAGCATTTGTAGATAAAATGATCTGATGTGCAGGAGGATTTGCTTTAAAGTAATATGGACAGGGGTCTAGGTGAATCGAGGTTGGTCCTGAGTTGATAATTGTTGCAGCCAGTGATGGGAACATAGGAGCTCAGTTCTACATCAGGAGAATCAGTTCTACTTTTATTTATGTTTTTAACTCTTCATAATAAAAGAACTTAAAAAGAATTTTTTTTAATCTTTATTTATTTTTGAGAGAGAGAGAGACAGAGTGTGAGCAAAGGAGGGGCAGAGAGAGGGAGACACAGAATCCGAAGACAGCTCTGAGCTGTCAGCACAGAGCCTGACACGGGGCTCGAACTCACAAAAGCAAGTTCATGACCTGAGCTGAAGTTGGACGCTTAACTGGCTGAGCCACCCAGGTGCCCCATAAAAGAACTTTTTAAAAAGTTCCCACATGTTACATGTGGGATAGAGAGTATTCCATTAAGTATATATATTGGATGGGATAGAAAGAAACAATAAGCATAAAAATAAAAGTACCACGTGGAGGAAAAGGTACCGTGGGTGTGGGGATGGTGAACATAGAGGGTGGAGAGCTGCGGAGGCTCCAGAAGGCTCTGTGAAGGGGAGGGCCTGTGTTTGCACCTGCCATCAGTCTTCTGTCCCCACAGGTGACTGTGGTCCGGAACTTGGAGGCCTATGGCCTGGACCCGTGTTCAGTGGCCGCCATCCTCCAGCAGCGATGCCAGGCTAGTGCGACCGTCACACCTGCCCCTGGGGCCAAGGACAGCCTGCAGGTCCAGATCCAGGGAAACCAGGTCCATCACCTCAGCCGCCTGTTGCTTGGTGAGCATCCCCTCTGAAGGAGCAGAAATCTTCCCACCAATTCAACTCACGCCAGTCGTCATAATCTTTGTGGCCATATGGTTCTTGGCCAGCAAGAGTTGGAGCTAATACTTGAGCCAGATCCTTTGCCCCGCCCCCCCCACCCCCCCAAATTCAGAACTCTCTCCACCATGCTCTCGGAGTAGTTTTCTTCCTGGTTCTCCCTTTTATAAAACATTTTTTGAGCATCCAGACTGGGCTAGGTACTTTGCTGGGCTTCATGCAGGCATGATCTCTCTTAATCTGACAATGCTGCAGAACTGTTTCTGTTTTGCAGATGAGGAAACTGAGCTTCGGAGAGATTCAGTACCTTGCCCTGAGATACTCAATTGTTTGGTGTTGTAGCCCAGCTCTGAACTTTGGTTTGTCACACTGTAGAGCCTGAGTTCTTTCTACCACGTCTGGGGCATCCAGCCTCCAGTTTGTCCTCAGTTCACACCATATCTGTCTGAGTCAGCTTTCTAAAACAAACGAGATCGCATCACTCTCCTGTAAAAACTCCTTATGCCTTGTCACTGCCTTCAGAATAAGTTCCTACACTCAGTAAATAAGACCCTCCCAGTCCAGATCATCTTCCCCTCGGGGTCTCTGGCAGCTCTCTCCCCCACCCCTGGGCCTCTGCCATGCTGCCGCCCTTGCTGTTCCCCAGATGTGCCAGGCACATTCACACTTGGTGCTTTTGTCTCTGTTCCCTTGCCTGGTGTGCCCACCCTCCCACAGCCCACATCTGCCCAACCACATCTGGGCTCATTGGCCCAGCTTAGGGGTCAAACAAAGCCTGTCTTAGAGCAGCCCCACTCTTTTTCTGTCCTTAAATTAGCATTTAAGAAATTGCCAATGTATCACTTTCCAGTTGTGTTTATGTTTCTGGTTAGCATCTGCAACTTGGCCAATTTTTCCTAATATTAGCGCTCTGCTAGACGGAGCAACTTAAGTCAGAGACCTTGCCTTCATCCTTTTTGTGCTCAGGGCCTGGCATAGTAAATGCTCAATAAGCAAATGTATTTTAGGGCTTAAGGCAGGACCCTGTAGCTAACTTTTGGAGTTGACCCCTTTAAGTGAAGAATTCCTATCTGAGATACTAAGAAGAAATACAGCCAAGCACATGACTAAACACAGATGCATACATTCTGTCTCATGAGAAAATTATAAATGCCTCAAGTATACCCGAGAAAGTGGCTATCAGTGTGAAAATTGCTAAAATACACGTTTCAGCCATGAGGTATAAGGATAAATGGTCCATCCCAGACCGCTTCCCAGAGGAGCTAGGTTTGAGCTGGGTATAGAAGAAGCGGTCACATGATGGAGGTTGATTGAACGGAAGTTCACAACAGAAATGAGCGCACAGTGGGGTGAGAGGGCGGGGAGGTAGCTGTGCCGGTGGGTCGGCCCATGGGGGTGGGGGGGCCAAGGGCAGGAGGTGGCAGGGAGGGAGCAGGAGAAGAGCGAGCTTGGAGTTTCTGCTTTTTGGATTGTAGAAGAGTATCAGCTTCCCCGGAAACACATCCAAGGCCTCGAAAAGGCCCCCAAACCTGGCAAGAAGAAGTAACAGACTCTTGTTTCATGCGGACGATCCAGTGGAAATCAAGCTCTGGGCTGGTAATTGATAAGAGCATTTTCAGCTTTTACAAATGAAACAATATAATTCTTTACCAAAATAAATTTTTATTCTAATCTAAATCTGCTTTCCCTCTTGTTTCCTCCACTTAGCTAAAATGTTGTAGTAAAATTTTCAAGTCATACGCCAATTTAATTGTTTTCTTAATATTTATTTATTTTTGAGAGGGAGAGCACGAGCAGAGGAGAGGCAGAGAGAGAGAGGGAGACACAGAATCTGAAGCAGGCTCCAGGCTCTGAGCTGTCAGCAGAGAGCCCGACGCGGAGCTCGAACTTGCAAACCGCAAGATCATGAGCTAAGCTGAAATTGAGAGTCAGATACTTAACCGACTGCGCCACCCAGGTGCCCCAGTCATACGCCAATTTAAATTGACATAAGAGGTTGTTGTGGAGTCCCTTTTCTATACATGTGATTTCAGTGGGTTTAGTGCCTTTCCTGCTTTCAAGGCCAGATGGCCCATCCAAAGCTCAGGCAGGTAGGGACTTCCAGTGTTTTAAAGCCCCTCTAAGCAAATAGTCCACAGCCTCTTGCCCCAAAATAGTGCCTTCACATCTGTAAAGGGTTAGTCGCATAGAAGCAGGACTCAGCTGTTCTCTGCCATGGAGCAAGGCAAAAGAAGAAAGTCTTGGCCCTAAGTTGCAGCAACATTTGGGCTAGATAAAAATAAATCCTAAAAGCACATGGGTTACTCAACAATAGCGACTTCTTCCCCAGCGCTGGCACGCTGCCACTGGTGATGGTAGATTGCGATGTGGCTGCAGCATGACGGCCTTGTCACAGGGAAGAGTCTTATCCAACAAATGCTTTCTTCAGCCCTGAACTTCTTAACTGGGGACTCATGGAAGAGGTCTTTAGTTGGTCTTCAGAGGATCTGTGAACTCCCTGAAATGGTACACAAGATTTTTTTGTATGATCCTTTTCCTAAGAGAGGTTATCATGCTTTTGCCACATTCCCAGCAGGATCACTGCCAAAAAGGTTCAGAACCACCACGCTGGTCCGGAAGTCACTTCTGTGACCAAAGCTCTCCTTGTACAAAAGGAAGGAACGAGAGCGAGAGCGAGAGCGGAGCTGAGAGTCCTTTGGTTTTACCATCAAAAAACAATTAGAGTTCAATTTACTTCTTTCTTTCCTTTCTCATCTGTTTGTTTTTTTTTAATTGAGATAAGAAAGACTTGAACATATGCAAATATTTGCAAATTACCCATCTGGGGCTGGAAAGGAAGAAAGGGATATGAAAGTGCATGTGTGACACCACCTACCTTTCATTATTAGACCCAGAATAATAGTGCTAGTCACTTGTGACTTGCTGTAGGTAAACCCCTTAATTTTACTAATCCTCTCTCTGCCAGCACAGGCATATGGAACCTAGGAAGGGATTTTGGAAATTGACCCCAAACGAGGTCCTATTACAACAAAACCTTTGGACAGACAGTTTGATCTGAGGGAGTATGGTGTGAATAGTAGTGATGAAATATGGTCCTTATATGAATACAGATAACATGTAGTACTTTATAAGGTTCTTTCACAAACATGATTTGCTTTGCACAGTCTTGGTGGGATTGGAGGCTCAGAGAGGTTGTGTCTTGCCTTGTTGATCTCTGTTAAAGACACAAAGCCAGTAAGCAGTGAGGGTGGGTCTAAAATAAACATCCACTTCTAACTGTGATTTAACCTAGAATTCTGCTAGGACAGTCCTGTCAGGACGTGTGCTTTGGTTTTTCCAGTAATGATGACACATTTGCATTAGGTCATCTTCCCTTTCCCCCTGGTGAACGCCACAGATACATACATGTAAGAAGGCTGGGGAAGGTTAGGCTGTTTAATGAATTGGGGTTTTGTTTGTTGGTTTGTTTGTTTGTTTTTCCTATGTGCTAAGCCAAACACTATCGAGGTCAAATCCATAACTTTGAACTTATTAATCCCATGCTGTTACCAGATGAATTTCAGTGAAAAGCAGAAACTGGTTCATGTCTAGGTTTTGGCAAAGTTACTGAAAGACATACTTCTTGGCGGTCTAGATGAACAAATGTTACAGATGTGCCCCATTCTTGGGTAACTTTAGGAACGTCTATTGGATACAGTGTTCTCTCCTCCAGGGAGATAGGGAGTGAGCTGGCTGTCACCACTGGAAGGCAGGCAGGAATCTCTCTTAACAACTTTATGTGGTTGCTTCTGTGATTACAGAGCTGTTTCTCTGACGGAAGTTAGATAATGCTAATATGAAAGGGTCTTTTTACTCACCTCATTTGCCCTCCTCCAAGGTGAGCTGATCTTAAACTCTCAGAGGCACGTCCCATCTGCTTTATTTATTTATTTATTTATTTATTTTTGGTTTATTCATTTTTTGATAGAGACAGAATGTGAGTGGGAGAGGGGCAGAGAGAGGGGGAGACACAGAATCTGAAATGGGCTCCAGGCTCCGAACTGACAGCACAGAGCCCGATGGCGGGGCTCGAACCCACGGACCGTGAGATCATGACCTGAGCTGAAGTCGGACGCTTAACCGACTGAGCCACCCAGGCGCCCCATATCTCCCTCATTTTTAAATAATCCGAGAAACAGAAGAATCCTTGTCCACATCAGTAGTCTGTCCTCATGTTTAATCATCTTTAGCTCCAGAAAGCTCCCTCCTCTCTTCTCACTCAGGATCCCCTTCTGTAGCACATCCCCTTTCCTCTCCTGCTCTGGGGGTGTGCAGGACAGCCGGTCACCGGGGCAACACCCTCTGGCCCATGCGTCCCGTCCGTTTTCTCCAGATTATCTGAAGAGCAGCCTTCACTCCTCTGTTCACTGGCAAAAGGGAATGTGACTCTGCCAAGAAGCGCGTGCCCTTCCCTGTTCCCACCCTCTCTCCCAGCTCCCAGTTTCCCGGAGATGGTGAAGGCCAAAGGTGTCTCCAGTCTGAATCCTTTTTGCAACAAGCTTTTATTACTTTTTTTTAAACCCATCTAAGAAAGACACTTAAAAAGAAAATATCCTCAAGACAAACACGTACACACTGGGCAACACAAGGGTAGAAGGCACTACCAGCAGTCATACCTCTGGGGGGAAGGGATAATTCACACAGACTATGTTCCGAGGCTCGGGACTCGGCACGGGTCCTGGGTCTAACTGTGCTTTAGATAAAGTCGGAATTTTCCCATAATCTTCTTATTTCATAAACACCCCTATCTCTGTATATATAGCTATATGCCCTTACGTATATATGGACGTGACTTTTTTTTCCTTCTCAAAAATAAAATGGCCACCCCATCAGCGGGAGGCCCTCAGCAGCATTCACAGTGGCTGCAGCAGGAGCCGTGCCTTCCATTAATGTTACAGACATGCAGCATGAAGGAAAAAGGGGCTCTCTACCCACTCCCTTTAATATACAGCAGGGAGAGATTTCTTAAGGGAGGGAAGCGATAAGGCTGAGCAGGAGATGGCAGATAACCAGGGTGTGGGGAGCGGGGGAGGGGGGGGGGTTCTCAAAAATCTTGAGCTGCTAGCTCGTCTTGCTTCTGCAGCTTTGAAGACGACAGACACAGTTTGGATGACAAGGGGTCAGCATTCCTTCTGGGATCAGGGGCAGTGAGGATGCAGCAAGGGTCAGGGAGGGGACTTCTGAGGCTACACAAGCTGGGGCTCAACCTGACCCAAGCAGGACCTGGGAAGGCAGAGGAGCGAAGAAGTGATCTCCGAGAGGCTGGATGGGAAAACCGTGCCTGCTTTGGAAGTTAAAAGTCCTTCTCCCTCCGTACTGGAGTGTCTTCGCAGTCCTGGCTACTCGCTTCAGTTGTTTGGCTAGTTCATTTTTAAGTTTGCACCTGAACGGGGAGCCAGTACAGATGTAAGTTAGGAATCTGACCCACCCTGTCCCTGCGGTTGACATCACTTCTTGGGAGTCAAAGCCCAGGATCTCAGATGGGAAGGTCTTTGACTCTTGCACCAGCCTTGGAGGGAGGGCTCTCCTGCCTTGCCCCCCACACCGCCGTGGGCCACTTCCTGGCAGGAGCAAGCCGGCAGTAGAGCATCAAGCAAATGCACCCTGCTCCTCTCTCTGAAAACAAAAAGGCACTGAGGTCAGCGGGAAGCCAGCCCACAGGCTCACTGAGCACAGTGCCACGGGCGGGCCGGGCTTCAGAACACAAAAGGACTCCCCTGGTGGCTGAGCTGGAGGTTCCCCGGTCTGTAGTCAAGGTGCCTCCTTGGACAGCACCTGAGTCCTGGTGGAAGCAGACAGGCCGTGCTGCAGCCCAAGGGGGACAGCAAGGCAGCCAGGCCCTCCCCAGCTTGCTAGCTGGGGGAAGGCCAAAGGCAAGTTGGACACACTTCTCTGCGACGTCTCTCGGCTTTCTCAGACCGCCTGATTTCCATTCTCACAGGAGACATTCAAAATGGTGAATGGTTGGTTTCCCTTTGGTGGAAACACATGATGATGGCAATGTCAAATTCAAAACTGTAACTTAAAAACAAACACTTGTCTGTTCACGACAAAGACGTGACTGTCACACTTGCGCAGATAACATATGCCTTTGGGTTTACGTGCACGGACTCTTGAGCGATGAGGGCCAGGGCGGGCTGCGGCTTCTCCGGAAGCCTCCGAGCCAGCCTCAGGCTTTGGTGCTCCCTACCTGAGCATCTGGGGCCAGTGGCTTTATAACCTTCCCTTGAGCATGAACAATGGGCACATTGGGGAACAGTCCTTTTACGAGCATTATCCTGCTTTCCAGGGCTCAGCTCAGATCTGCTAGAGGAATATGCTACAATTTTTGACTCATAAATAAAGGTCTGTGGGCGGCAAATACGAGAGAAACTGAAGAAGAATAAAAGCCAGAGAAAGAACATAACAGCTCTAAAACCTTTCTTCTTTCCTTTACCGGCTGGTGCGAACAATTGCGGTTCGGTGATGACAGAGGCAGCCGGTTGGCTTCCGGGAGGATCACCCAGGACTGAGGCTGCTCTGTCCCCCATCCCCCTCCTCAGCAGCGAGCGGCAGGCAGCGCCTGGCCCGCGCGCACCTGCGCCCCTCAGAGGTTTTGTGCCACATCTGGAACTGCCAGGTGGGCACAAATGCACCCGCCGGAGGTGTCCTGAGAAAAAGTGTCTGTTGCAAAATAATAATCATAAAAATAAATCCGCGGGCACCAGAAGAGGAAGCAGGACCGGTTACCCAGGTTTGCCCTGGGATTCTCTTAAGGCCTCCTCCAGTTTCTGCCTAAACTTGTCATACTTCTTCTGCACTTGTTGGATTTTGTCCTGCTCCTCTTTTTCCAGGATCGTGAGGAAGTTCTGGAGCTCAGGGATGGAGAAGGCGTCCCACTGCAAGGCACGAGGGAGATGGGGGAGAAACAGAACAGGAGACAGGTCAGAAGCTGCACGACCTGAGGGGCCCATGCTGCCTCCCCGGTTCACACGGTTCACACACGGTTTGCTACCGAATAGGCAAGTGCAGTGGATAAAGCTTGGGTTTCCCTTGTCATACCAGCAACCAAATTTCAAATCCTGGCATCTCATGACCAAGATGTACCAGTCCATGTGCGGTGTTTTATTTGGAGAATCAACCGTCTTCCATTTTCTCTGTAGCAGCTGAGATCTGTTCAGATCTCAGATGCTAGAGCCGCCCGGGGCCCATGCTAGCCTCTCTAGCTGTCTGCTGTGGGGCGATGAGCAACAGGCCCTCAACGTGCAGACCCCCAAGAGGCAGATGGAGCTGGACTCAGCCCCCGGAGACTGTGTTTCAGCCTGACTCCACCATGGGATCTTGGGCACATCACTGCGCCCTTCTCAGCCTGCTTGTTCATCTGCCACGGGCTTAGGGTCTCCGCCTCCCTTGGCTGGCAGAGCAGATAATGAGGTAACATAACCTGTAAAGCTCTGTAGAGCCCGGTTGGCCCAGGCCTGCCCCGATGGGACCTGGCCTCCCGGGATGGAAGGCAAGCATCACTGCTCTCAGGCTGACCCAGGAGCAGAGCCCCCGCCCCACTCTGTGGAGCCAGGGGTTTTGACTCCTAAGCTCTTTTGAGCACAAAAGAATATTCAGGTTTATCTAGTTTAATCCCCACGTTGCATAACTGAGGAGACCGAAGCCCACAGAGGGAAGGTGGTAGAGCTACTGGGACAGAGCTGCAGCAGCAGAACCGGAATTAGAGCCCCGTCTCTGAACTCCCAGGCCCGTGAGCTTTGCACCAGGCCTGCAGCGTTCAGACGTTTTCAGCAGAGTACTTTTTCCGAAAATCTGACTCCAGTGTGTAAGTCAGATGGAAGCCCAGCTGCCTGACTGAAGCAGGGAGAGGGGACAGAGCCCTAACACCTGCCTAGATGCCCCGAATCTCCACGGTGACCCCTAACCCTAGGCCTCCACTGAACACAGTGTGCCAAACGCCGAGGATGCTCCCCCGCCCTCGGCCACTCCTCCGTGACTCCAACTCCCAAGTATCCCAGGCCGTGCAGGGCGCCAGCCTGATTTCACCCTAGTTCGTGCCGCCACACTGCACTCTGATGAACTCCCCTTTGAGGAAGGAGGTCCGTTTTTAAGAGCCAGGAAGAGACACACGGCTCAGTGTGTGTGGCATGGAGCTTGCTGGGCCTCAGGCCATCCTGGAGCAAAACCAACCTGGGCCCGGACACAGGAGCTTCCCAGTGCCCCTCCACCCTGGGTGTTCAGAAATAAAGCCCATGAAATCCTTTCTTTCCACAGACCTTGCCAGACACAGGCGCTGACTTGCATCCCCCAGGATGCTTACAATCCTGGCTTTGGACACTGAACCTCCTTGGCCCAGCACTTACCCCGGCTCTTTCTCAGCCCATTTTCCCAGCTGCCTCCACAGGGCCCCCAGCTATGCTGGGTAGGGAGGATGACGCCCACGAGGGTGCCCCATCCAGTGTGCCCTGAGGGCTGGGTTTGTGCAACCAGCAAAGGGGCCCAGACCTACCTCCACCTCTCCAGTTTCATTCTCCTTGAGCACAAAGCTGAGGACGTCATTGTCAGGCCCAGCCAGCAAGCGCAGGTACAGGGGGCAATCAGCGATAGAGAGTTTCTGGAAGAGCACTGCAAACCAAGAGAGGGAGTTAGGGGCTCATCGGAGGTGGGGAGGAGGACAGACCCGGAAATAAGACGCAGGGTGGTTATAACTGGAAGTAGCCAACCTTCCAACCTAATGAAATGAACCTGATGAGAAGACATAGGGAGTGACCTTTTATTTTTGGTGTCTGCTGAGAGTTGGAAACTTGTTTCCACTTGCATCACCTCCCAAAAGATTAGCAGTGGCAGGCGGGTGCTCTCCCATTCCACAGATCAGGAAGTGGGAGCCCAGGGTGTGGGTTTCCTGCAGTCACGTATAAGGTGAGGGGCACCGAGAGCAGGCGCGTGCTCCCCGTCCAGCTCTCTGCCCAGAGTGCCTGTGTGGCCCTTCCACATGGCTGGAGTGCAGTGCCCAGCGGAAGCCCAGTCCTCCCACCCAAGTCTGGCAGGGGTTCAGTGGGAGAGGTGGTTTCTGGCCGGGAGCTTGCTCTCTCATACCTTGCCCGTCCTTGTGTATCCGCTTAAAAAGTGCAAACTTCTGGGGATTGTCCACAACCATGAACTTCTTGAGCAGCCCCTGGATGACCTCACTGACCGTGGTGGTGCTGCTGATGTGCAGCTGCTTGATGGCATCCAGAGGAAGATAGAAGGACGTCCGCTTGTCCGTGGTGGCCGCCAGGTTCACTTCCTTGATGGCATCGTAGATGGACTGGGGCCGGATCCCAGCAGGCACGGTCACTGGCCGCCGAAGTTTCAAATGCACTTTGATGAAACCCGTGTAGGTGCCATCTTCACTCTGAGGAAGAAGGTGGGGGGTGCCCCATGGGTCAGCTCCGGTCTGACTTGCATGATCCTAGCTGCCACTCTGGGCCACTGCCCTGGATCAGGGGCAGGGGGTGGGGTGGTTGCAGAGGCCTTTCCTAATAACAGTGCTATCCCAGTCAGCCCCCCACCTGTCTCCCCGAGTTCCTTCCCATCTCTGCTGACCTGGAGGTGCTGGAGGGCAGAGACACTGTCCCCCTGCCAGCCCCGCATCGGGCCAAGAGAAGACACGCAGTATCCAGCAACCAGGGGGGACACGAGGAGCTGCCGTGGCTTTCGCTCTGGGGGCTCAGGCTCCCTGTCCCAATCCCCTGCCTTTGGTGAGTCCCCACTCCTGGGAGGCAGGGTCTGGAGCGTCCTCTCTAGTTTGCCCCTCCAAACCAGGGAGGAGCAGGAAGGCTCTGTAAAGAGGCCCCTGGAGTGACCTGTAAAGAGGCCACTGGATTTCCTCCTGTATTTCTTTCCAAACCAGCAGCCTGCAAGACTTAACGCCCAGGTCCACCGGAGACTGGATTTTCTAGCCAGTTGCTACCAGCCTCCAGCAGGGGGCAGCGTTCTTCTACCTTCTCCTCCCCTTCCCTTCCCACTGAAGATGGCCTTCGCTAGCCTGGCACAGAGTCGGTGCCTCCCTGCTCAGAGCGCTGCACAGTCCAAGGAAGCCTCCTGAGACGCAGGCTGTAACGGTGCAACAACCAAGAGGGAGAGGACAAGGAGCTGCGAACCGCCCTTGTGAGGCCTTCCTGAGGGCGGAGCAGTACCAGGTCACTCTATATTACTTAAATCTCAGGACAGCTTCGACAAGTGGGCACCAATACCTCTTTCACACTGAAGCTTAGGGACGTTAAGAAGGTTCCCAAAGCGAAAAGTGGGAAGAGCCAGAGACGGATTTGGATCTTATTCTAAAGCCCATTCTTCCCTGCAGCCCCGGGGGGTGGGTCCCTGACCGCCTGGGTTCTCAGCCTTGCACAAGCCCCCAAACCTGGGGAAAGGGGAGGGGCCTCAGAAGGGCCGCCCCAGAACCTAGAGGGGTAGCAGGGGAGCCCAAGTGACCGGGGGCGTGGCCGGGGTCGTGGATGGGGGCGGGCCCGACGCACCAGCTTCATGCCCAGGCAGTTCTTCTCCCGGGTATTGTAGCTGTCAATCTTCTGTTTGATCTCCTGCAGTGTGGGCGGGCGCTGCGTCTCCTCCGGGGGTTTACAGACATTCTGGAACACAGAAGTGAGAGTGGGCACACAGTGGATGAGAAAGGGTAGGACCACACCCTCCCAAAGGCCTCCCTGACCAAGCATAGGGAGCACCAGCACCACGGGGTAAAAACTAATTCCATGGGCTCACGGTGAGAACAATCAGAGGTCAAATTCCAGCGGTGCCACTGCCTAGCTGGGCCAGCCCTGGGGAAATAGCTCTAAACCTCAGTCTCCTCACCTGTGAAATGGGAAAAATAACTACCTTTCAGGCTTGCTGTGAGACTAATATGAACATGCCCAGCACATGGGCACCGACCACAAATCTGGTGAATCAGCAGAGCAGCATTGGCTCACAGAGGGTTGCTATGGAAAACATAGCCTTTAGATGCTAAGGGAGATGCAGAGAAATGCAAGCCGGGGTCCATCTCCTCAAGGAAGTAACAATAGAGCTGGAGAGAAAGGAATGTACACACAGTCCCAGCATATGCTGATGGGAAAGACAGTAATTCATCCAGACCCAGGGGACCAAGGGCACGTGAGCATCAGTTCAGGCCCCACATCACCAGCCACAGAATTTTGCACATAATTAAGTCAGTTCAGCTGATCCTTGAACAATACAGGTTTGAACTGCATGGATCCACTTATACACCAATTCTTTTTCGATAAATACAGTCCAGTGCTGTAAATGTATTTTCTCTCCCTTATGATTTTCTTCATAACATTTTCTTTTCTCTAGCTCACTTTATTGTAAGAATGCAGTGTATAATACACATAACATACAAAACTGAGTTAATCGACTGTTCATGTTATTGGTAAGGTTTCCGGTCAACAGTAGGCTATCAGTGGTGAAGGTTTGGGGATGTCAAAAGTTATACTCAGATTATTTATTGTGCAGGGGGGTCAGCGCCCCCAACCCTGACGTTGCCCAGGGGTGAACTGTATATATTTGTCAAACAAATGAGTGAACCAGAAAGGGACAGGGGGCTGTCCTTCTACAATAATTGAAAGAATCAGCCTCCTCTCCTGGAGCATGGGGACAACCAACATGTTCTCAGCACCCCCTCTGTGGTGAGAACTTGGCATGCACGGTCTCTTCATCCTCATGAACCAGAACTCTGTGAGATGGAGTTTATTACCTACGTTTTACAAGTGAGACAACCAGGACTAAGGAGTTCAGTAAGTTGCCTAGAGCCCTGTCCATATGTGCAGAACTGAGAGGAAATTCCCGGGCTGTTCTGTTGAGTCCTTCCCAAGGGCTCCCCTGGTGCCCTCTCCCCCTAGGGAAGGGTAAGGGAAGAACAAAACTGAAGAAGAAGCTGGGGGTCAGTGTCCTTCATGCTGTAGAGGGGGTTCAGGGGTGAATTCTGGGGTCTCGGCAACTCTGTCCCTCGTTATTTCCCTGCATTTCTCCCAACCTCCCTGCCGCCCAGCTTCTCAATCTTGTCTCCATGCTGCCTGTGTGTGGCCCGGAGTGCAGGAGCCATGGTTTGGGAAAAACCCACCCAGAACTCGCCTGATTTTAGACATCTAGCAGACTCAACGCGGATCAGGATTCTCCTTTGGCAAATGGGGAAACAGGCCCAGAGAGGCGGAGCGTCTGTGTTCTCCTGGCTGCCTCCCTGACACCACCCTTCAGGGGTGTGGTTTGGTCGGGGAACTTCACACCCACCCCGTCACGGCAACACCACCCAGTTGAACACAATGGGTGCCCCCAACAGAGCCCGCCCTGGCTGTCCTCCCTCCAGCAGGCTGTCCATGGAGATTGGGCACACCCAGCAGGATGCCCTCACTTCCTCCTCCTGCTTTCCCACCCCCCTCCCCGGGGCCGATAACATGTTCTGTGGCTGCTGTGGTGAGCTGGCGTGGCGCCCGCCCCCGCCCCTCTGCATGGAGATAAGCCCACACCCCTTTTCCATCGCAGCATCTTCCCTTGGCTTGTCTGCTCCCCCCTGTACTATTCCTCAGGGGTCCTGAAAGTAACAGCATTGTGCTATGTGCTTTCACATACCTTCTCTCACATACCCCCTACGCTACTCCCATTTTACAGATTATAAAACTGAGGCTTAGAGGGGTTAAGGAACAGATCTGTGGTCCCACTGCTAGTAAGCAGCTGAGTAGAGCAGAGCCCGTCTAAATCTGCAGCCCGTGTTCTTCTTGATTCACCACCTGGCCACTCTAGGCAGCTTCTGCCACTCCCATAATGCCCGCTGAAATTCCACCCCTCCAGGCTGGGGGGTGCAGCTGTTAAACCAAGGCCTATAAACGATGGGACCTGTGAAACATTCATCCAAGGTGTATCTGATGAGTGGGCCAGGCCCCAGAGGCATCAGGACCCACGGGCACCGCAACACCTGCAAAGACGTCAAGGAGGGACTTCTCATCCCGCAAGTGGGATGTAGCTGCCAGGAGGCAGGACCCACCCTTTTCCTACGTGGCCGCTCAGGCTCTTGAACTGGACCTTGATCCCATCGAAGACCACCCAAGGGGGAGCACAGGCCAGGGCATCTCCTGTTTGCTTGAGGTAAGTAGCAGGTGATACGAGCCTCACAGAGTGCCTTCTTCATTCACTGTCAATTCATTAACCCAGCTCCTCAAACGGAGCTCCTGATTCCTCATCCGTTCCCACAGTTAGTTCCTGGAGACACACACTGCCCCAGAAACCCTCCCAACCCTCCCCACAGCGGGGCTCATCCCTATGGGGCCACGTGTGCCTAGCGGAGGCTCAGCCCTGGGAGCTTCCGGCCAGAAAGACCAGTCATCTGGTTACTACCATGTGCTCCCCCCTTTCCAGCCGTGAAGCACGCAGGCTGTCCCCTCCTCTGGAGTTCACAGCTTTCTCAAACTTGTCTACAAAAAAAAAAAAGTTAAATGATGGAAACTCTCGAAGCTCCTGAAAGATCTCCTCTCATAGCTTCCAACTGGCTACAGCCATTTCCCTGTCAGAAAAGGCAGCTGTGTCACAGCTTGCAAAAGCCGATTGTTCCGGGCTTGGGTCTGTACACAGCAAGAGGCAGAGCTACTGTGACTAAAGGTTTCTTCTTCTTCCTGTTCCCCTTTCCTTCAGCAGATAACCCATCTATCCGCCCCCTTTCCCGCCACAAACCTGGGGAAGTGACGCAAGCAGCCGAGGTCACCCCTTCCAGGACTGATGCAAAAGACAGGCATCCTGGTCTCCCCGCCCCGTTGGAAGTGCCAGGAACCCTGTGTGGCCAACACGTGGAGTCCCCCAGCCTGGTGTGTCAGCACCTGGGGCCGCTATGCTTGCCGCCCAGACTGCATCTGCCAGACAAGATCTGACCCATGGATTGGATGAAGCACCTGCCAAAGCAGGCCAGCCAGCGAGCCAGCCAGCCACAGCCACGGGAGCTCACTAATCCCTTCCTTCCCAGGGATGATACAGAAGCGAGGCCAGTGGTTCTTTCTTTCTTTCTTTCTTTTTAATTTTTTTAATGTTTATTTATTTATTTTGAGAGAGAGAGAGAGTGCAAGCAAGGGAGGGGGCAGAGAGAGACGGAGAGAATCCCAAGCAGGCTCTGCACTGTCAGCCCAGAGCCTGATGTGGGGTCCGAACCCACAAACCATGAGATCATGACCTGAGCCAAAATCAGGAGTCAGATGCTCAACCGACGGAGCCACACCCAGGTGCTCCTAGGCCCATGGTTCTTAAATTTGGCTACACACGGAATCATCTAGGGGATCTCTAAAAACACTGGGCTCCATCCTGGAGATTCTGATTTATGGCCTGGGGCCCAGCCTGGGCAGAGGGTCCAGCCTGGGGTCCAGCCTGGGCAGAGGTAATTCTGATGTTCAGCAATGTTTGAGAAGAACTGGTATAGACCCCTCGCAGCCCATTTCAGATCCCAAGGGTCGCCATCCAGCAGCAGAATTAACACTTGGCCACCTACAGATATTCACTGCCCGGAGGTTTACCTAAAAGGAAGTATCTGCTCTGTGAACAAGGTCAATAATACAGTAATCTTCAGAGGGTAAGGCAAAGACCTCAATTTCTATTCACCCGCCAGATTTTCAAGTCCTCAAAGTGAAAGATTTGTTTCCGTTCACGGGTACAAAGCTAGAAACCACGCAGCTAGCATTTTGTCTCCTAGGTTAGCCCAAGATGGAGACAGAACGGGAACTCACTCTGATTGAACAAATACCGGCATCGGCCTGCGAGGTGTCCCTCGTAGGGGGTTTACACATCTCGGTGCATCTGGCATGGAATTCATCCGCTCTGATTAAGCCGCTGGCATCGGTGGCAGATGGTTTAGCTGCTCCCGATGCAGCTGGCACATCCAAGACACTGGTGAAAAACAGGTTTGTGCTCCCACATCCTAAGCTATGGAAAGGGCTGCGTTGCCTCTCAGGGCTCAAGTTTATTAGGGTACAGCCACGTGAAGAGGCTAGCTGCTAGGGGTCAGAACAGAAATGCTCCCCCGAGAGAGTGATCCTCAAACTTTTCTATTAAAATATCACAGGGGCGCGTGGGTGGCTCAGTCGGTTGATCGTCGGACTCTTGGTTTCGGCTCAGGTCGTGATCTCACAGTTTCGTGAGTTCGAGCCCCATGTTGAGCTCTGTGCTGACAGCTCAGAGCCTGGAGCCTGCTTTGGATTCTGTGTCTCCCGCTCTCTCTGTCCCTCCCCCATTGGCTCTCTCTCTCTCTCTCTCTCTCAAAAATAAATAAACATTAGAAAATATTATCCTTAACATCAAAGTTAAGAGGACCATCCCTGTGGTCTGGGGCCTGTCTCAGAGCAGATTTACCTGAAGTTGAATTTTACTTTAAGAAGAAACCCAGGGGTGCGTGGGTGGCTCAGTTGGTTAAGGGTCTGACTCTTGATTTCGGCTC